TATGGAAATGAAATTGGATATTGCAAAGCCATTAGACTGGGATGGTACATGCTTATTCTTTCCATCTGAGATGTACAATGCTGAACTATAATATCAGGGGAGAATGTTTCATCCCCAGTTTCATCTACAATCAACGCTGCAATCTCATTTGCAGAGGGCAAATCATATTCCCTACTATTAGCCTCCCGCTTGGCCAATAATTTAACCTGCAGTTCATCAACACCATATTGGCCTATCTTATCTCGTGCTGAACGAAAAGTACGTACCAGAACATTAGAGGCATCAAACATTTGTTGAAGACCTTGAACAATAGATGCCCGTAAGGGATTCCTATCAGGATCAGATGAGTAAAAGTCCAAGCGATTCTGCACTTCATTATCCGAGTCATGAATATATAATTGTGCAAATTTTGGACTAACGCCTTCTGGAGGAACCAAACTGCCAATTCGATGATAAATTTGCCCTCCAATAGAATACACATAGACACCTTTGCCATCATTAATGGAGCGATTCACTTTTCCTCCGATGGAAATAAAACAAAAAACAGCATTATAACCTCGACTGTTTGCACGACAATGACGGCTCTCAGCAGTATCACCTTCCAATAAAGTCTTGAGAAATTGAGGAGGATCTCTATGATTCGGAAGCTTCACCTTACCATGCTTACAATATATTGGAAATGAAGGAAACAAATCATTTCGTGTGGCCAAAGTGCTCTCATAACGCCAAAATACAGCACCACAATGTTGACATCTACATGAGGGAGCTCCAATACTGAAAGACTCAATTATTGAAATACCTATAACAATTTAAATATTTAGTCAAAATCATAACTTATGGCATCATGAGGATATCATGATGATAAATATTAGAAAAGGTCCATATAGGAAATAAAAATTGATAAAGTCTACTCCACATAAATTCTAGTGAGAACCAGGCTATATAAGATAAGAACAATTTGATAATGACTTGCCCTAAAATGGGAATAGATAATTAATTACACTCCCTTATATAATTTCAACATGATATACATACAGAAAAAGCAATTAATAGACATTCATTTTCAAAATAGTAAGAAAAACAAAACTATTGTAAAAAATATTGAGATCCAAAATGCTAATGCACACATATGCTAAAAAGGAAACCACTACGATGACACATTGTGCAACAACAATTACAATGACCAAACAAATATTATATGTTTGCCCTTTCATAATGCGAAATCTACATTGAACCTTAAATAAATCCATAATGCAAAAAATAAAACAATTAGTAGTAATATTATATTTATCGAAAACTTATGAATCAAAATGTGCAATTCACCAAAAAATACATAAAAATAACGTAAACAAACTCGGAGATTAGCCCAGATACAACACATACTGAGATTGGACCGATTGTTTAAGACGGCTTGACGTCTACGCTTCTGTGCCAAATGAATACGCCGGTACAGTCTATTCCGTTTAGTCAATAGATTAACAAACTCATTCTCCAACCGCGCAGGACCTAAGACATTAGAAATACACTTAAAATTAGTCTAATATAATTGCATTATAGATTATAAAGTAACAACAAACACCAACCACTAAATTGCTGCATATGTTTATCCCGGACATTGAATGACCTACGACTTCTTTTCCCTTTTAAAATGACATGTCACCGCTGCCGTGCCAGTTGTGACAGGGATCTAGATAGGGCATTCAGTTCACCTTTCAACTCATCTTGTTCTACATATTACAATTAACAACAAATTTTACATTATACATTTAATGATAAAACATAAATTGTGAATGGAGTATGTATTCATCCATACCCTTTTCGAACATTGCTTCTTCCTCGGCAGATAGGACAAAGCGCTGCCCCTCATCTTGTGGATCGTAAAATAATGCCCGAAATTTCCCTGAGACAGATAAAATTTAGTGAACTATTGTATTTTTATTGCAACACTAACTACAGTCTCATAGATGCCACTATACATACACGGATGCGACGAATCCAGGAGCCGTTTATTGAGTGATGCAGTCACATACATACTTCTAACCCTTCTACCTGAATAATAAGGAGAACACAAATCATTGACCTGATGAGGAAGAAAAATATTGGTCCATTGTGAGCGTACAACCGTTATTAAACTCACGTTTAAATACAGTATTCGGATCAGTTGAGAGATGAACAGACGACTCGCCACACTCATATGTACTTGTATCCATAATGGAAGCAAATATAACTGGGTGTGTATAACTATATCAATAGAGGACCAGAAACAACAATTGAAGGTCCAAATTCAACCACCTGTTGTTCCAAACAACAAACACAAAAAAATCAATTACTTCATCTAAATATAATAAATTACATCATATAAATATAATCAGATGTATTGAAATAGTCCCCTTAGGTATGCGAAAAGGATTTCAGAGCATTGTTACCCATACGAAATATTAGTGCAGACACAATAGACATCACTTGAAATAAACATGGAATCCCGAATTCATGCTAACCTTCTGAGGCTTGACATAAACCATTCGGCAAAATCGGAGAAAAATAATTTAAGCTTCATAACAAACCTGCAAACAGTAGTAAATCACTTTTGAAGGACCGCCATATAAAGAAGAAGCAAGCAATCCCTACCGTCATTAGCAAGCCAGTGAACAAAAAAAACATAGATTAGGATACTGCACTGCGATAGCAAGAACAGGAATCACAATACATGTTTAACAGCAGGAAAGAATTACCTGATTGAGTGTCATACCTCTACCCACTACTATTTCTGGAATCGGAGGCAGGAAGTTCGGATCACCACAACCAGTGGAATTGCTTCATGACCGCCCCGCAAGAGTAGTTGTTGTTGCTGCAATTGAAGAAGCAAGACCCCAGCTGTTAGTCTTCTTTCTACGATCGAGGGAGTAGGTTTTAGGGGATGATGATTGAACGTTGTCTTCGTAGGTTGTACAGATTGAAGATTCCTTGTACGTGAGGAAAGCTGGGAGGGGAAGAGATAACCACCTGTGAGCCGAGACATAGTGGTGGCAGGTGGGAATTTTCCCACGACGTGGGGTAGTTGGGTGTTACTGGGCCGAATTAGTTTTTGGGCCCGTTCAAGTTGAGGCCAGGTGCAAACCCGGTTTTTCTCTGGAACAGACCTGTCCGACCGCGCTGAAGAGGTAGAGAAAACAATCCACCTTTCCCAAATTACCCCTCCTACAAACGCTCTCCATCGAGGAAATTTGAAATGGGGCCTGCAGTTTTTCTATTCGGCTTTTATTTATTATATAGATATAGATAGATAGATATCAAGTTGCGCTTTTAGCCTTTCATGATGACACGACTAAAAATGTAAACCATTAATCTGGTGGGTTCGAACTTTGATATGCAAGCTGCTTCCTTGATCCGTTTGAAATTTCAGTACAATTTCACAAAGCCGCCAATGATCAGCCTTGAAAGACAACAATAACAAACATATCAAAACAAGTGGAAATTCAACATGCAATCGGATCCCTCTAGTTAACAAGAGGAGAGATGTGGAGATTTTTTTGTTCAACGACAGCGATGTCCAATCTAACCATCAATAATTAAAACTAAACAGGGCCGTGGAAGAAGAAGAAGAAGAAGAAGAAGAAGAAGAAGAAGAAGAAGAAGAAGAAGAAGAAGAAGAAGAAGAAGGGGATCGAGTAGCATTGATCACGACGTTTGTAATTGTAGTCAAGGCCCAAAGGGATCAACTGGTGACAAGAAAACCAGAGCGTAACTTTCACGTCTGTATGAATATCGATGATCAATTGCTCTCTTGCTTTCAAGTATATATTTGGAGCAAAAGCAGCAGCTGACACACAGCAGTATGTACATACACATGTTAAGACGTCCGTAAAAGGGGAAAATAATTATTAAAGGCGTGAATAGTTGCTATAGCTTGGTTGTGTGTCGCTGATGATGAGCAATATTGTGGTTGGAGTTATATGGAAAATGGAGGATGCCCCATCTGAAAAAGAGAGATATTATGTATACATATAAACAATTATATCAAAACACAATGAGGAGGCATGAGTTATTTGGTGTCTGTTTCAGTGTCCCTGATTAATTGTATTGTTTTTCTGCAGGCAGGCAGACAGGAGGATACAAATAAGGAGAAAGCAGCCATTTTTGGGATACCATTTCTTTGCTACAACCCCAACCAAGTCAAGGCCAAAACACGTCAAAGCAAAGCAACTTTATCAGCCCAATTTAGTCTGGCTGCAACTTTCCTCCATCCTAGTCCTAACCTCCTGTTTTTTTTTTTTACCCACCACTGCAAGTTTACTTTTCCACACCAGGAGCATCGTGGAAATGCAGAGTGCATGTACCTCGTCGTTTCTTCACTTTTACATGTTGGGCATCAACAAAGAGTAGTGATGACGTTCAGCATATATATTGCATGTTTAAAGAAAAGAAAAGAAAAGAAAAGAAAAGAAAAGAAAAGCGATCTCCATATATGTCATGCACGGATCTGGGCAGTGGGACTTGGTCTTATAATTATCATAAAAATATGACTGACCGACCGATCGACCGGGTCTAAAATACCGGGATTTGCTCATGGTTTTGCATCTGCCTTGCACGCTAGCTAATTCTTTTGCAGAAATTGCAGTGATTCCCAAAGTAGTAGAGCCTATAGCTAGCTCTGTGTACAGAATTAATGGAGGCATGTGAAAGAATATGGAGCATTCATTCTAAGGAGGGGATTTCTGAAATCCTAAGATTCCCAAATTCTGCAACAGACACCAAGTAGACGACCAACAACATATAAAGTCCAAACTAGCTAGGCTAGGCTGCTTTTGCCTGTATATAGAAAACCCTCATTAATTGGTCAACATATATTTAAAGTCTTACCATGCATTAATATAATTAGGCATGTAAACATTAGACCACCACCATTAATTATTAATTATTAATTATATATAGCCTTGAGTTAATTGCACAAACAGATCTGATTTCTCTACAGTAAAAATCCACTATGGCTCTCTCCTTCCATTCTATCTCCTTGTTTCTTCTCTCTTTTTCTCATTGTTGATATCTTCTCAGGATTCCCAATCCAACACTTAACAATAACAATAATAATAATTGTCTCAACTAATTAAAAAGTAATGAAAAGAAGGAATGGCTTTACAAATATGGACGGACGCTGTAGCTAGGGAAAGAAGCAACAAGCAGTCATACTTGTGGCGGCGACAAGTAGATGGATGAATCCTCCTCCATGGCTGGAAGCTGGTGGTGGAACAGCATTTGATCAGAACCAACGCCGAGAGGGAGATCAGATTCAGAGCTCATCATCACCTTACTAAAACCATTCATCATATTATTATTATTCTCGTAATAGTTATTAGCATTGTCCAAAGAAGTGGCCGCCGAACCCATCTGGTAATTACCACACCAACCCTCGAAACCGTCGTTCATGAGAAGCAGCGGATCACCACCACCAAGCCCTCCTACAGGGAAAGCAGCAGCCTGCTGCATCATCCCGCCGTAGAACGGCAGCAGCGATGAGGATGGAGGTGAGGCGGAACAACTTTCGATTGAGACGACGGAGGAGTTGGGGGAGACTACTGCTACCGTGTTCATTCCCATGCCCGCCGAGTAGGCCGCCTGGTCGTTGTTATTGTAACCATGGTGGGGCAGCGGCATCGTGGTTGCGGGTGAGAGCTGCCAGTGCCATGATGGATCATGATCCATCATCATCATCGTCATCATGTCGTCCTCGGGCGGCGGCGGGTTACTAGTAGCAGCAGATGGATGGTTGAGTCGGCCGCTGGCTCGATTGTGGTGGTGCTTCTTGTTGTTGCCGAGGAGGAGATTGAGCTTCTTCTTGAGTCGGGTGTTCCAGTAGTTCTTGATGTCGTTGTCGGTCCTCCCTGGGAGCTGCGCTGCTATGATGGACCACCTGCTGCCGATGGTGACGTAGAGGCTGCAGATGACGTTGTCCTCCTCTTCCGAGAACCCGCCGTGCTTGATGTTGGGTCGGAGGTAGTTCAGCCAACGCAGCCTGCAGCTCTTCCCGCACCTCTTCAACCCTACCGTTCCGTACACCCGCACCGTAACGTACAAGTTAGAGAGCTAGAAAGGAGAGTAGGAATAATGAGGTGAAGGTATACGTACCGATCTTTTGAGGGAGGGCGATCCAGTTTCCGCCGGTGCCGTGCTGCTGGATGTACGACTTCAGCCTCGCGTCTTCCTCCGGCGACCACGGCCCTTTCTTCACGTTTGCCTTGTCACAGCACGGCGCTCTCCCCATCCCTCTCCTCTCCTCTACTCTACTCTGCTGAAGGAAGGAAGGAAGGAAGGAAGGAAGGAAGGGGGCGATCTCCTGTCTGTAGGCTTCTGTGCTTGCTTTGCTTTCTGATGTTGTTGGCCCCTTGATTTACTACAATCATGATACCAATAATGCGTCTCTATCTAATCTATATATATACTGTGTTTTATTTATTTATTATCTTCCTTTCAAATTAATTTTTTATTGATATTTCTCTAGAAGAAAGAGTGAAAAGAAAGAGAGAGAGAGAGAGAGAGAGAGATATGAACTGTACGTAGTGAAATGATGATAATATAATAGCTGGAGAAGGCAGGACATGGAGGGAGAAAGAATAGAAGAAAAAGTCATCCCTGTTATTCCACAGAGATATAGAGAGAGAGAGGATTCAAAAAAGCTAACCAGACTATTGCAGATGAAAAAGGTTACCTGAATAATCAAATTGTTGTTTTTTTTTTTTAATGGAGTTGAATTTCGAGTTACTTGAAAAAATAAAATAAACAGATTAATTAAAGTGTTGGGAAAAAGGAAGAAGCTAAAGTAGGGGTGGGAAACGGTGCGGTCCGGTCCAGACCAGACCATAGATACGGTCTGTGGTCCAGATCGAGAGGTTGGAACACAGACCATGGACTAGACCATATACTGTACGGTTCAGACCAGACCACACCTGTGCGGTGCGGTCCGGTATGGTCTGGACCAGACAGACCATGTTAAAAAATTAACTCTTGTTCGCCCTCCAATCCTTCAACTGTATCTATAAAAAAATCTAGTGACCAATATGCTAGTGAAACAAAAAAATTGTGATCGTATTAAATGAGAAGAAATATGAGGACAGAAGTGGGTTTTTCCAATTTTCAAATAGCCTTATTTCCCTATTCCTCTTTGTGCTACCGCTTGTCTCCTCTCTCGAGTGATCTGAAGGTTCTCCCAGTTGATAACCTTTTTGATGACGTCGAGGTAATTTCGAACCACTAAGATGGTCGCATATCTCTCAATAATTTTCCTTATCTCATCAAGGTGAACGAATTTTTTTGTAGTGTTTAATTTTTATCGACTCCATAGTCTAGACATTATCTGTGAATATTATTTATGAGTCTTTCTAATTTTTGTGTGGTACTTTGATAAGGAGATAACATATAAGCGATCATTTTGCAATTTGTTGGCTCTCAACTAGATGAAGAATCAACTAATTTTGTTCTTCAAATACGCATATGGAGGTTCAATTTAGTGTTATTTTTGTCCAAGGTAGTAGGTAGTGTGTCGCGGTCTGTTACGGTTTACTGCGGTAGACCGCGGTCCAGACCACTTCAGACCACGCACTAAAGGAGGAGCTCGCAAACCAGACCAGACCATAGTTCTGGTCTCACGGTCCAGACCAAACCATACGATACGGTCTAGACCGCGGTTTCCCATACGATTTGGTCTGGATTCCCAGCCCTAAGCTAGAGTGATATGAATCAACACGCTAGTAGTGGAGGATTAAAATATACAAAAGAATTCTGAATTAATTTACTGTTTTTGCAGAAATAAAGGAGACAAGGAGTAAAAGGGACCATACAAATACAATCCAGGCCCAGCCCAGGGCAGAGAGTCTGCTTTCAGTTGTATTTGTATACTGTCCTTCATTCTTCTTATGATTAACACAGATTAATGTCCAAATTACGCGTCCAAATTATGAACTAATAATTATCTCATTTTTGTTAACTTAAGTTAACTCTCTCTGGTTCTGAGCCTTAATGTCTATACATATTATCATGGTTTAAGAAAGCGTTAAAGCAGATGTTCGTCCTAACATCTAACCATTTTAAATGAAACTAACAATTCTTAGTATAAATAGCAATGCTATACCACTTTTTAATTATTATCATTTCGACCCAATTTTTTGCAAAATTTCATTTTTCTAGTACTCTATGTGTTAAGACTGTTTAAGCGCGCCTAATTAATTAGTTATGACTCAAGCGGCTGTTTGATCGTGTTTTTATTTGCATATGCGTTATGAACGTCTAGTTATCTGCCTGTCATCTAGAGACAACGTTTTGTTGTCGATCAAGTGGTTGGACGTACCCGGAATAATATTACCCCTAATGCTTGTAGTTCACTTAGATTTTTACCTTGATAATCAATTGCGAACACCTATGACTTATCATCATATATACAGCTTATACAAAAGAGATGATTTTCCCTTTTCTCCCCTGAAGAAGTACAGAAAACAAACTAAACCATCAGATGGAATATTGTACGTTTGGGTTGCCCTGCAGGAGGAATATATATGTATGTATGTATGTAGAAGAAGCATTCAAACCCAATTCTCTCCTCCTCGTGGCTGATTGAAGCTGTCAAACCCCAGCCTCTTCCTCCTCCTGCGCCTGATGCATGGAAAAAAAAAGTGTGGATCATGTCATCCCCATATCATATCAGAGACAACCTTTAGAATTAGAACCCTTCACTCGTTCGTTGCAAACCCACAAGAAAAGTAAAACGATAAAACTACACTTATTTCTTACACACAAATTTCTGTTGCTCAATAGAAAAGTTATATATATATATATATATATATATGCTCGGTCAATAGTTAACAAAAGAAATATGATTGGAGATCTCTCCTTTAAGAAAATAAACAAAACTCAAATTGTGACGCACTTGATGTTCAAAAAGATACTAGCAGTAAGGCGGGCATAGCGAGATGTTCTGGTTTTGTCTGATGTCTAAGTATAAGATTAAACGCGACTTTTTTGAACCTTGACTACGATAATTAATTTTTTTTGAAAGGAGGAGTTACAAAAAAAAACTCAGTAATTATTGATAAAGAATACTGAAGTTCTACCATCTATTCTATTTTAAAATTTTGTTGCAATTTATTTTATGAATTTTTACTTAAATTTAAAAAAAAGTAGTGTGACTCCGCTAGGAGTAATAATCTATTTGTGAAAAGGAAAGCGAGAATACTAAAATAGCTAGGCGCTCTTTGAAACTACAGAACAAAAGAAGGAGATATTGCTTGGATTCAATTTTGAAAGTCTACTTTTAACCATTATTTAAAATTCATGTGACATCTCCCATTGCTAGGTACATGTACGCATCCACGAATGGATATGTGTCTAAATTTTAATGTTCTTAGAGCTATAATAATATAGCAGCAGAACGAGGGACCGGAGCTACATATAACGGGAAATAACAAAGCGAGAATTCAAATTAAGTATTACAACTCAGTAGAAGTCAAAAAATTTCATGCCTTACTCTTACCAATATTTAATGCCACGTTCAAAATTTCTACAAATGGTTGGTCACCAAATGACCAAATAAGTTGGACAAGCTTTTTACCACCAATTCTAGGAGAACTGTCTTCCAACACCCTCCTAAATTATCCTCAAAATCATGTCCAAAGTCTTGGCAAATAGGCTGAAAATTATTATGGATCAGATCATTTCTAATACACAGAATACATTTGTTTCAAGTTGATCTATTTATGATAACACCCTAGCTACTTTTGAATACTTTCAACCAATGAAGAAGAAAGATAAGAGGGTCAAGAGAGGTTTCTTTGCAGCCAAATTGGATATGGCATACGATAGGGTAGAGTGGTTTTTTCTAGAGAAGATGATGCCGAAATGGGATTTGATGAACAGTGGGTCGGGAAATTAAGTTATGGCCTCCATCTCTACAGTCAGTTACTCAGTACTCGTCAATGGCTACAAGACGGAGGTCTTCAAACCGACGAGGGGGTTGCGCCAAGGGGACCTCATCTCCCCATATCTCTTCTTAATAGAGGTGGCAATTGGATCGGATTCGTGGATTCGTGGATCCATGGATCAAATGGATTGGATTGGTGGATTGATCCATGAATCCAAATGACATCCAAGGCTTGGACCAAAATGTAAAATTTGAAAATTTTTGGTACTAAAATGTCATAATGAAAAATTTTAGGTACCAAAATGTAATTTTCCAATGATATTTTTCGTATAAATATATAAATTTTAGGTACCAAAATGTAAAATATAAAAAATATAGGTACCAAATTGTAGTTTGCCATTTTGATCCATGGATTGATCCATGAATCCACCAATCCAATTGGATTTGGATCAAATGGATTGGATTTAAATGGATAATTTGGTGGATGGATTGGATTGGATTCATGGATTTGGATCCTAGTTGCCACCTCTACTTCTTAATATGTGCGGAATGATTAACATCATTGATTAATAAAGTAGAGGAAGAAGGAAGAATTCATGAAATCAAGCTGTGCAATAAAGCTCCATCTGTAACACACTTGTTATTTGCTGACAACAATGTCATGTTTGCAAGGGCATGTCCACAGGAAAGCGAGAAACTGAAGACTATTCTAAAAGACTATGAAAATGAGTATGGACAAATGGCCCGCCTCAACAAATCATAATTGACGGTCAACAACAATGTGAAGCAGCATAGGAGAGCGGAAATTGTGTCGATCTTAGGAATAAATTAACAGAAGTGTCAAAGCACGAGAAGCCTTGGATTGCCAAAGGTGGCGGGGCGCTCAAAGAAGGTAGTTTTCTTCCATAAATGAAAGAATTTGCACCAAGATCCATAGCTGGAAGCGGAGTTGATATCTATGGCGAGAAAAGATGCTTTATAAAAGTTGTAGCCTTGGCACAAAGGAATTTTACAATGTCAATCTTCAAACTATCGGGCAGTCTGGTGAGTGAAATTAATAGTATTATCTCTAATTATTGGCAGGGAGACAACGAGAACAAAAACAGAATACATGGAAGAGCTGGAGATACACATGCAAAAACAAAGAAGATGGTGGGGTGGGGCTTAAGGAATTATCATATTTCAATAAGGCCTTCTGGCAAAGCAACTATTGTTGCTCATGCAAAAACCAGAATCCCTTATTGGGAAGATCATAAAAGCAAAATACTTTCCACATTGTTCAATCTTGGAAGCTCACGTGGGATATAGGCCAAGTTATACTTGGCGAAGCTTATTATCAGCCCGGGAATTACTACTGAAGGATGTAGATGGTGGGTTGGGAATGGCACGAGCATCAAAAGAAGCCAAAGGTGGGATAGCAGGGGACAATGGGACTTGAATAGGTTTCAGAACTCATTGACTATGGGAAGGCTTGATGGAGAGATTTGTTACATATG